TGATGACGGGCTTATTGCTACCGCCTGGTGGTAGGATGAGAGTACAGGGATTGTGATGGGGACGAAGGGGACGAAATATCGGTAGCGAATGCTACGATGATTGGATACTGAGAAGTGACACACGTGTGACATGAACACATGGCAACTCTGAACATTTTTTATGGAAAGTTTAGTAACACGAGGATGGCAACTTGTAAGCATGGCAACTTCTTTTTGGATGGCAAGTTTACCGAAAAAGGCTCGCGCCCCGCTTTATATATAAAGCAAATGCCAAAGCCAACATCCAACAAGGTTCACACAAACACAAAGCCCACACGCACACAAAGTCCAAGCACAAGTAAGCCACAAGGGTTACTGCTGAGGGCACAGCTCAACAAGCCCAACACACACACAAAAAAAGGCACAAGCGCCAGGAGGGAAACATCCTCTAGTTTTTCTTTATTTGTTTTTTTTCTTTTTGGATGGCAACTTTAGTTGTAATAATGGCAGGGTCGGAGTGATTCGTGCCACACATGTGGCACTTATCATTTAGTAAGGTTTTAGGGGAGAGGAGAGTTCTGGGAGAGCCTCATGGATAATAGAAACCTGACTCTTTTTATGAGTTGATGACAATGAAAGTTGAATTATAAAGCTCATTACAATACTTTTTTCTATCATGCCATGAGATGGAACTCCAGGGTTCAACAAACTGGTAAGAACATATATGTGTTGCGAGATGGGAAAATTCAAACGATCTTTGTTAAGCTTTTGATATCAAATGGAGTTTATAGGATATAGATAGTGGATAAAATTATATTACCTAAATTGGAAACAGGAAGTGTGCCCACACTATCTATTCGGACGCATGCTGCCCAGTTCTTCTCCTTTATGGTGCTTAAAATATCATCAGATAATCATTTTGTTGTTAGTGCGCTTAATGCAATTTTACTTTTCGGATAAGAAAACCAGTTTCACCATGAAAAAGATATTTGGGGTGTCATTCATTGATAAAAAGATACAATCGAAGCTAAAGAAAAGTACAGGCATCGATGCATGTTTAAGTCTTAGACTCTTTGTTGATTAATTATTATTGAATTAAATTATGTTTATCATTTTCAGGTTTAGCATCTGCTATGTTGTGCTCATCTATGTATCAATTAAACATTACAACAAATCAGGCCATTCTGATCCTAATTTCCTAAATCCTAGATCCTTTGAATCAAGACAACAAACTAGAACCGGCCCAGCAACAAGAGTGCCTGGCGGAGAAAGTTCGTCAATCAGGGGAAGTGCAAAAGTGTAGAATCATACGTGATCACCACCTGAAAAGATCTAAAGTGCAGTAAAATAGTTGCACCATACGATAAAGTGATCATTTAATTGAAGTAATTAATCATTTTAACTTGTTCAACATAATGCTAATATCTTATTGTATGAGTGGACCAGTTACACCATCTTTGTTCGTAGTCTGTAGGATACCATGTCTTAGAATGATTATTATTTGGGAAGGCAAGAGTAGTTAATGTGACATATATTTGTATCAATGAAAGTAATATGATTATTATTTGGGAAGGCAAGAGTAGTTAATGTGATATAATGAAAGTAATATGATTGTTCAATAGTATTTTTTTTAGCAAATATGGTCCACTATGAGACCTCTCTCTGAAATGGGATGACATCCATTATGTGATAAATGTATTACTCCCTCCGTTTTTATTTACTCTGCATATTAGAGTTGACTGAAGTCAAACTTCTTAAAGTTTGACCAAGTTTATAGAAACAAATATAAATACATATCATAACAAATTTATATGATGTGAATGTACATTCAATAATGAATCTAATGGTATTGAATTTTTATTGTATATGTTAATATTTTTGTCTATAAATTTAGTCAAAGTTCACAAAGCTTGACTTTGACCAAAGCTAATACGCGGAGTAAATAAAAACGGAAGGAGTACTTCTCAGTTCGTAGATGAAGCATTTTATAAATGGACTGCGTTGTGGTAGATTTTTGACTATCAACATTGCTTCATGTAAGTTATGTACTTATGTCATGTCTAATTAAGTATTATCAAAATAATACTCCCTCTGTTGCACAATATTTAAGACGTTTTTGCAGGCTATGTTAGTGGGACCGGAGGCTTGAAGATGTGTTGGCCATTTATTTGTTAAAACTTCATTTTATAAAGATGGGGTCAAATTGTATATGCAAACAAGAATTTTGCAAGGCAGTTGGGCAAGACTGTACTAGATTATTTCTTATATCCAGTGAAAAAATGACAAAGAGTGTACTGCTGCAGACCCAACAGGGGAGCATACAACAACTGATCCAATGAGCATCTAGATTGTAGGTTTATTTTGTTGGTGTTCTTGCAGCTTGACATCTGGCTGTATAAGCAAACTATAGAGGGAAAATGAATCGATATCATTAAATTTTTCACATAAAAATATTTCATAACCATTTTTTATTAATTAGAAACACCATCATATATTCATATACAAAACAAAGGTTAAAGTTACTGCCGTCATGAACAATCACACACCAGAGACCACTAGTGAAGATATATGAAGATATGAGTACTGAATTCATGCTCCAGTCAATTCATCCAAAAGTTCGAATTGATCGAGAGAGACGGGCAATATATTTCAACACCCCCCACACCCCCTCTTGACGTCTAGGCTTTTTTGTCCTTAGACGTGGGATTGGTGTAGACCACATAATCTTCTGGAAAAAAACTGCGTTCGTAGGGTCTTGATCTTGAGACCTTTTTTGTCATTATTGAATTCATGCTCTAGCCAGTGTATCCTAAAGTCCAAAGTGGTGAAGAGAGACGGATATATTATTTCAACAACGAGAACTCGAGCCCATGATCTGAAGGAAAGCACTGCCGTGATGAATGATCATACCACAGACCACAAAATGGTAGAGACAAATACCGATACTATATACAGAGAATGGCGTTTTGGCTCCCGGGAGCGCTAGCTCCCGCATGAATAGTAAACTAAAATATATAGTAAATGTTTTCCAAACCTTTTGAATTTATTTATTTTTTGTAGATGTTCGTGTTAGTGTCGCAACCATCCTTGAAAATTTTCATGCGAAAGGAGCAGCGCTGTTTCGCTGGTGAAAAAAACAAATTTATGGTGACATTTTGGGGTAACACTTGGTGTTTTTTTTTTGCACAGGCCATCTACAAATTTGTATGTAGCATTTGGATGTGGTAAAGAACACATATAATTTTTGTTGGAATGTTTTTTGACATTTCAAAAAATATTTTCGCGCGCAGGAGCGCGCGCTCCCGGGAGCACCAACGGATTTTCGCTATATACATAGTTAGAAACCCCCATTCGACTATTTTGCTCGGTAGGCCCTCCCAAGGTGGATGGTGGCGAGGGGGAGGGGGCGGTAAATCCGATTATCGTTGATTTTCGCAGTTATTAGCTCGCTGTGAACAGGATGCTTGTTATGAAAAGTCGGTAGAAATACTTAGAGCCATCGGATACAGATCCAAGAAAAAGGTTGAGCAAATCCTCCAAGAAAAATTATGTTTAAATATCTGCTACCCCTTACATGATTGTACTACTACACGTTACTATTTCTCAAAAAAACTAATTTGTGGGTGCCTGGAAAAGATCTGTATAGTCTGCCCCCTACTATATGCTACAGTATCAATCTAACATTCTCCCTCGCGACATCTACTGTCAACTAGTCAGCGGTACGCATACGTACACTTCTGCGTCGGCCGTGCAATCAGGTCACTAAATGCTCTTGCTCATCCGCTCCCGGAACCTCCTGATGAACATATCGGCAGCTTGGTCGATCTCATTTTCCATGTTGAACTCCAACCCCTGAACTTCCATGTTGCTCTTGATCACATCTATCACCGAGGGCTCGTCGGGGTGGCCATCGCACCCATCGAGTAGCACATCACCAGCATCTTCATCGTCGTCTTCCGTGTAACAGCAATTGTCATCGTCATTGAAGATGGGGTGCAGCGTCCAGTCAGGGCATATATCACCACCATCTTCCTCTTGACAAAACATTGCCAATTGATGCTTAAGATCAACGATCTCACCGCCATGGATCGATGGAAGGGTCTTGTCGACCTTGTGCGAAACGACAGCCTTGTGGCAGTCCCCTCCCGCCTTCGCCCGGTCCGCGGCCGCCATGAGCGCGTGTATCTTGTGAGAGACCACGCCGACGGTGGCCATCCTGCGCCGGAGCGAAGCGAGGAAGAGGAGCCTAGCGGCGAGGACGCCGGTCTTGCTCTTGCACATGGTCACCGCCTTCTTCAGGACTACCGGGGCCTTGGCGATCTTCATCTTCGTTGCGGAGAGGTGGCCGAGCAGCTGCCTGTCGATGGCAACAGCTAAGGTGCTGCACTGCCTCAGGCTAGGCATGCGCAGATCACCCAAGTGCTGATCGAGATGATGAGACTGGGAGTCAAGCAAGGTGGCTTCAGTTTCATGGGCTTTGTCCTGAGACCCCTAGGATGTATTTATAGTCTGGTGCTAGCTTGGAAACCCCAAGCAGGCAACACTGTGCGGCTTTGCTGCCCATGTCATGATCAAGCTTTTTGGTAGTCCAAAGCGTGTGAAAATAACATGGAGAGAGAGCAATTTAAGCATGTGGACTGCGCACTATATTTGAGGGAGAAAACTAAAGCTGGGTGCGTGTGGAAGCAAGTTAAAGATGCAAGAAAAGCTAGAGAGATATGAGGTGAGGAAGGGTATGTCGAAAGTATATATTGCTCTGCTCCGGTTAGGCCACAAAGAACACTCCGTTGTTAATTCTTCTGCGCCATGCGTTGCTGCTGCTGCTTTTGTGACTTTGCGTAGCTTTCCTCCTCGATCCTGTGTGCGCTAAGCTTTGCTGTCGGTGCTCGTCAACACGTACGGCCCGCTACAGCCATGCAGCAGGGAGGTTGTTGGTTTGGAGTGGTCAGGCTAGGAGGGGCCGTACGTGCTCCCCGTGCGCGTCACTGTGGCGACAACCACATCAAGGACGTCTCCGTGGACAGGAGATGGCACCCAAAAAATAGTGGTGCGCACACAACTCCTTTATTGCCAAAAGAAGGAGAAAACATGGCGCAGATCAGCTGCTAGCTCAATTATTGAAAGGAAATAAGAAGTTGCTAGGCCCCCCCTTTGATTTGAGTGTGAAATGCACGAGCTAGGCAATCTCAGTTTAGTCAATTCTACAGGGATTAGACACTGTGCATTCCTTTGAGAACTTGCTGTGCATCCCATTGAGTAGAAGGGTTTGCTACATAATTTTTTGTATTCCCTTGGTTATAATTTTTATACGTGTGGTACGTTTGCCCCCCGGATTTCATGGGTTTGGGAATTTTCAAGAATCATATTTGTAGATTTCAGCAAAATTTAAAGAAAAAAATCTCACATGTACATGTAGACGGATCAACGTGCCCGTAAGTTTTATTAATGAGTTTCTTTATTTGGCTCTCATATTTGCAAGGGACCTTGTGCTGTGAAAATGAACAAGAATTAGCTGGAGGCCCCCTTGATTTGAATGTGAAACGCAGGAGCTAAACAGTCTTGGTTAAGTCAATTCTACAGGGATTAGATACTCTGCATTCCTTTGAGAACTTGCTGTTCATCCCTTTGAGAACTCGTGACTTATATGTAAGCTGAGCACCCGCGAAACGACACTTGGCTTAGACGGCATAAGCCGGTCCAAATGAAGGCGAGAGCTGTTATCCGAGTGCAACACTCGGCTTACTCTAACCTGTGGTTATTTGGTGCTTCGTCGAGTATGTTTCATACTTGGCTTCATTTTATTTTCACGTAGTGTTTGACCCCCGGATTTCACGGGTCAAGAATTCTCAAAAATCATATTTGTAGATTTCAGAAAAATTTGAGAAAAAAATCTCACATGTACATGTAGGTACATCAACATGTATGTAAGTTTTATTAATGAATTTCTTTATTTGCGAGCACCTATAGGTCATATATTTGTTGGATATTTTTTTTTGCAAGATATCTTAGCTCACAAAATGGTCTTACATTACGGGACAGGGGGAGTACATAGGAAAGAGGCACTCGTATTACTTCATGTTGTTCTCACACTACTGGAATTTTCGAATTTCTTGAGTACCAAAAAACTCAACGAAACCCGTTTCACACTCAGCAGAGAGTTTGCTGCAGCGAAAAAAGTATATTTCGTATATAGGTTGCCGAGTACATTGCCGAGTACATTGAGTGCAAACGCCGTGCCACCTGGCACATGTTTGTCGGGTGCCTTAGCAGCGACTCTCGGCATATGCCTCATAAGCCAAGTTTTCTGTCTTTACCGAGCACATCCTGCCAAGTGCTCGGCAACTGCCGGCGTGTGCCGTGTCCTGCTGTCTGCCGAGAGCCACCCTCGGCTTACATGACTTTTACCGTGATCCCATGTTATGGTACTCGGCAAACAACAAAGGGTACTCGGCAAACAACAAAGAACTCGGTAACGACAATTTTTTCAGTAGTATCAGTCATCTGCGAATCCGTTTCTAGACACTTCAATTTCAGAGATTATTAGGAGCGTGCAAGCGAGTTAATTAACAAAGCCCTCTTTCCCCGTGAAGAAAAACGAAGCCCTCACACATAAAATAAAATGAAAGGCGCCGCTGGAGTGAAACCGGGGGAGTGGAAAGGGCGTTCCCTGGCTGCGGAAGAAGGCTATGAGTTATTGAGGAAGATATTTTTGCCCAACTGCACACCGTTGCTTCGAGTAGTGTTTGTAATGTACGAGTAATGTGTAAGGAACGGTGATTTTCTTAACGCGAAAGGATTAGTTGGTGCTTAAGGCTTTGGGCAAATTGGCGATCTTTCGCCGTTGTCGGGTGGTTCGTGCTGTCTACTTCCCTAGTTGTACTGCTTTTGGACCTCGTGGCCGTCGGTCTTCCACTTGAGCTGAAACTGCTTTGGTCGTCACCGTGGAGTCAGGAGGAAGATGTTTCTTTGCAACTTGCAAGCAGCTGGACACTTGTCGCTAGCTCCCGGAGACTGCCGGGTACACGACTAGCCATAGCCCATGAGTCAGGCGTGTGACGTCCATGCGGGCACAGGATGCATGGTGAAGACGCTCACGGACGCCGACGTGAGAGCGGTGGGTATGCCACTATGCCGGTTGGTGCCAAAGAAGGCGAGGGTGGTAGCCAAGCCTGGTGGTGATGTGCATGCAGGCGAAGGAACCATGGGCATGGTGGACTCGCACCGGAACCACGAAACATGGGCAGCGATTGCACATGGAAGCTCTGCTCAACCGAGGGATTACAATATTTTGCAGAAAAAAAACAAACAGAAAATCGGAAGAATAAAAAAAATATTAGTTTCTTTTAAGTGAAGTCTTACTTTATTAATCAAATAATAGTTACATCGTCCGCTAACAGTGTTATGATGAACTCAGGCGGCACATCAACCCAAAGAGAAGGATTATTTGCACGTCCCCATCTAGCCAACTCATGAGCTATATAATTTGTCTCTCTACTACAATGCTCAATATTAACCCTCCCAAAATCAGTAAAATACCACGACAATCATCAAGAACCGGCGCTGCCACCCTCGGTAAATGATGCATTGCCATTTAAAATTTGCTGTCAAGGGAGAAACACCGGCCACTTGTTGACTTTAGGCGTGTTTTGGATCTCCGTTGCACGAACAAAATTCAGAGCTAAAGCAAGGGCCGCCGGCGCAGTTCTTCCTGGAGACAAAATGTCTTCTCCACGAATGAATTGACATCGTTGCCACCGAAGGTACCGACACACCGTAGATATGAGCTCCGGCGACTCCAACGGTCCAGAATACAATCAGAAGTCACATAGGATAAACTCCATGACCTCTGCTCCCGACCGACCGATCATACTAGCGAAATTGATATCTGGTGCGTGTGATCCCGAGAGAATCCCAAACGGCTTTTGATCCAGTACAATTAAACATCATATGAAAAATGTTTTCTGCCCCAGCTTGACGGAAAGGGCAATGAGAAACCCTTTCGGACCTGTACCTTAATCTGGCGCGTTAGACCAACTCGGCCATATCAACTTCTCTGATTTTTTTTAAAGAAAAATTAGGTCTACAAGTAGCATAACTGAAAGTATCAATGAAGCGTGGAATGATTGCCATGCAAAGTCGAGGTAGCTTCGAGTAAGGAGGAGCGAGCATGGTGCACTACTTTCAGCTCGTAGCACCGATTTCATTGTACATTTCTTTTTTTTTTCCGGTGAATTTCAGTGAACTCTGCAAAGATCAAACTAGATCCCTTCCTGCAAGAACTATTTTTATCCGTCCCCACCCGGAACGTCAAGTGTCATTAATACATCCCTGTCCTTTGTACACGAGAGCGCTCACGTCACGGGGTTCACCGCTACATGAGAGCACAGCTTCATTCTTGTCTTCTTGCTTGAATATTTTTTTTCATCATGCGCAAAAAGAGTTCAGAGACAATAACAACAACACAACAGCAAGCAACAATATACCGTTCCTGAAATTAAGAGTCACTTTACCTTCCCCGCTAGTTGAAGCAAAAAAGGACATAATCTTACACCAATTGCTGCCACATCTTGTGGATGTGGGGCGAAAACCTTGCATGAATTGACATAGTATTTGATGACATGGAAACTAAGTTTTGATGGAAAACGGTGAAACCTTGGTTCCCCAATCTCGAATCCCCCCTTTCAAAAAGTCAATCTACCACCTGAGACCGGTAAGGCGGCCCTCTTGTGCCCCCTCCATCTCTGCCGATTCCCTCACAAGCCACCTCCTCTCTTGACGATTTTTTCCCCTCTCCGTGACCCCTCTCAGTCCTACTCGGTTGCCACCAACTTGTGTTCCTATGGCATGAAAAATTAGTGGATCACCACAATTTAAGGGAGCATTGGGATGGGAAAATCGGCGAGAGGGGACGAGGAACAGAGCACGGGAGGTGAGACAGTTCAAATTTCATTCATTTGCAACATAATACATCAAGGTCACAACTCTAGTATTTTTTCTTCTATATTGTCTTTTTTTAGAATGTTTGGTACCCCACTTATACTACTCCTACGCATTGGACCCATCTCGTGACCCAGACCCAATTTACAGAACACGTCATATCTGCCCACACCCCGAGTATTACCCACACTCTGACGCCATGGCAACCCCTTCACAAGAGAGCTCATATATGATGCTATATATGTCAAATTGTTGCCCAAGCACACATGGCGTAGTGGGCTTGTCCAGTTCCAGGGTCTGTTATTGGTTGGGGTTACCGGGTGCTCCTCCGTTTTTCTAGCAATATTTTTCTTTAGGTTTTATTGCTGTCCTCTGATTTTCAGTTTTTTTGTTATTCCATAAAACCACAAATATTTTAAACATACCGACCCTTTTTAATTACATGTGAATATTTTTAAAAGTGCATG